TAGAGCGAGGTTTTTTCCTCCGAGTTTTATAGCAGTTGGGGGGATGCCATCTGCACCTGGACGAGTTGATGGTTTTATGGCTGCGATGGCACTTTGCACCTCTCTTAACTTCACAGCGATATTACAGTATAGTTCAGTCGTTATTTTTGAAAGTGGAAGATGAAGTGGTTAAGTGTTGGGAACAAAACAGGAGGCAAAGCTAAGTTCATAGCCTCGCATATACAGATGTCGCGCGTTATGGAACCATCGTTTAGAGCCAATGTTTCAATTTCCTGAAGTGTTTTAGGGTTACTTTTTTTGAGTAGTTGCATCAATGTACGTACTTTCTCAGGATTTCTGAGTACCTGGCTTTCTTCTTTTATTTTGGCCGGTTGGATTAGACGTTGTAAATGTAGTAAATTCTCGTGTATTTGTAACAATGTAGCGAAGCTGTTGCTCCTGCGATATAGCGATTTGAGTTTTTTTAGTTTGATTTTTGCTTTGGACAGAAGCTTGAGTTCACCACTATGTTCATGGGTATTTCTCCATACAGTAGGTGCCAGTAGATCCACAACAAGGGCAATATTGTTCATAAACTCATTTGTAGCCACAGTAGGGTTGTGAGTTAGGAATGACGTATTCCAATTCATGGTACTGATAAGTTCGTTAAATGAAGTTCCAGTCCACATGATGGTGGTTGCGAGTGGGTTTTAGCATTTTACTTGGTTGTATAGTTGAATCTATAGTCATATCACAAAGCACCGTGTCGTGATCACAACCAGGTAGTGGATTATCAATGTAGGTATAAGCGTAAGCGATTCCCATCGTGAATACAAGGTCTTAGTGGCACTTCTGGTTGGCTCTCTAACATGCTGGGTCCAACCATTGAGGTGAATACATGAGATGATTTCCTCAATCTCCGCAGTGTTTCTGAGTGTAGGCAACATCCAGTTAACATGTGGTAGGTTGAAATCTCCACACATAATTTTGGATTTGTATGTGGTGCTGAAAGCAGCATTGATCATATCGATTAGCTTTTGGGTTTCACATTGAGTGGTTCGGGGCGGCCGATAGATATAACCCGCTAGAAGATCAGTAGATGGGATCACTAGCCATAATGTATCTTCTAAGTCACTGAACATAGGTTGATCTGCGGAAATTGCAGTCAGGTTATTTCGAAGATATATGGCACAGCCACCACCACGTTTATGTGAGCGATCCTTGCGGGAAAGCTTATAGCCTAAGATGTTAAGCTGCGAATCACTAATTTCTGGCGTGCACCAAGTTTCAATGATAAAAGTAATATCAAGGGATCTCATAAGCATAAGTATTGCAAGTAGATCTAATTCATGTAAAATGGAACGAATGTTAATGACGACAGATTTGAAAGACATTGTTAACATGGAATGAAAGTGGTGGGTAATATTTGTTTCATCGTCATTGTATCTGAGATCTGTGTGTTGTGAGGTAGCTGAGGCCCACTGAGCTCTAGATCGTACTGTATTGAATGAATTACATACCCCAGTAGTTTGATTATTCTCTGATTCATAATCGCATGTGATAGGGGCTGGATTGGTGGGGAAGGAAGTGGTGGTGTATGATAGTCTAAAAAAGGACTTACATCCATAGTGTACAGTGGTGGGGGAGGAGTGCTGAAGTCTACAAACTCATTTTGCTTCGGTTTGTTTTGTTGCCAATTGCGTAATACAGCGGGTGGTGGTGGGTGAATTCTGGCTTGATGTAGATAGGGGTTGCACCCTCTTACCTGTAAGTCCGTGTGGCCTACCACCTTTTTGTTTGCTATTTCGGTGTCGCACACATAAGGGCTTTGCCAGCTTGAGGTCGCGGGATTTGGAAACGTAGTCAGAGACATTGTGGGTAAGTATTGGGCCGGCTCTGCGACTTATTCCGACAGCAGTGTCGGTGTTGCATGTAGAAGCTTGAGGACGCACACTTTTTCTCATTTGGTCTAGCTACATATCCCTACGTTCTGGTGGTGGTTGCTTCAGACCTAATGAGCTTTGAATGCTTATGGGAGAAATTCTGGCAGGGTGCTTTCCCCTGTTTTTGCCTACGCCTCGGTTGGTCGGAGATAACCTATAGCTTAGTTCATTCGGGTCGGATTGAGATTTGTTTTTCGTGCTTCCAATGTTACAATCTGAATTTTCGTCTCGCTCTTGATAGGTCCCAGGTACAGTTACTGTCAACTTTTGTAAAGGCTTGCGGTTCGGAGAATGGATAAAGGAGTTGAGTGTGTGGCCGGCAGGTGTCTGCGTCGTTATATTTTCAGCTTGGTTGGTACTTTTAGTTATGGACACATCACTACTGCTGTTTGAGAATCTTTCATGAGGCCGCTGAAGACTGAGATATCCATCATCGCCTATATTAGACGACGCGGTAGACTTATCTAGGTCGACATTGCTGATGACAGCGTCAGTACTGGCTTCATTAGTAGGAACGTGGGGTGTATGATGGTGGGCGGAGGGGTTTTGTTTCATTGCTAGTCGCATTTGAAGAGGCGTTTGGTCGTGTTTGATACAAATGTTTTTAAAATTAGTTTGTGCAACAACTAGTCTTTTACTGCGTACAAATTTGGATGCGCCCCTATCGTCTGGAAACTGTAGGAGTATCGGACATGTGGTCATGTTTTCTTTTTTACTCAGTCTGAGGCATTGACAGGAGACTCCATCCATATTGCATGTTTTTAAGAGGGTATCTGTTACCCTGTCGATGTTCGGTTTATCAGGCACGTTAAAATTGATAATATTATGCGATCTACGGAGGCGTTCTTGCGTTTCGGATGCAACTGAGTCTAGTAAGGAAGCAGCTGTGCTCAATCGGTCCAGTGTAACAGTTTCTAAGCAGTTCACAGAATGATGGGACTTGGTCATATTGTGTGCTGAATTCATGAAGCTTGCATTTCAGCGTGGCTACTTCTTCCTCAATGGCTATAATCCTGTTTGTCGTTTCAGTCGGAATTGTGGTAGTAAAGTTGGAGTGGTTTGCAGCTACATCGACTTTTTTGGAATTTGGATGATTGACATCCCTTTTTTACAATAATATCGGGTGGGTTTCTAGCAGTGCTGTCAGAGGGTTTTATAGTCATTTCTGTCTTCAACTTCAACTTGAGGAGGGCGCTTCTCGTTTTCACATTGTCTACAGGCATTTCTAGTTGGTACTCGGAAGAATGTTATGGTGCTGAGTGTAAGTTTAATAAGTATTGAATAGAAATACAACCGCAAGGGGACAAGAAAAAAAATATGGCGTAGTTTTTACTACTATAAGTGGTGCAAACCAACCGATTTAAATTCCGGGTGGTTTTCACTGATGGGGTAGTTTTTTGGTTTCTCTGTCACCTGCGCGGTTTGTTCGTTAGTCTCGTTTATTCGTCTCCTGGGGATCGTGATACTGTCATCGCGTTGTAACAAGAGGACGCATCCAAAAATACAGACCTCTCCAAGTAGCAAGGAGGAGGAATTTGCTGTTTCCGTGTTACGTCAGTCTTGCACTAGCCTTGCAACATAGCACAGGATTTCACGACACTTATCTGTGTCTCCTGTGCATAACGCCTGTTGTTGCCATCGGATACCAACGTCCGTGACTTGTCTCGTCCAGTTGGTTCTGAACAGTGTTGTTGCTCCGACGCATGCGTATTCCATTTGGCGACCGGGGAGCACATGCACGGCCGAATGGACGTAGTTAGTATTAGGCGATGATAGAGCAATAGGACGAGTTGACACCTGGCCTGACCACTGAAAAATGAGTAGACTCATTTTGAATGCCCCCTCAGATTATTTCTGTTGCCCAATTGGACAACTTGGCCGGGAAATGGTATAGATGCACGGGTCTATGGAGTACGCTCCCGGGCGGGTGGTGAATGACAATCTGACGTTTAGGTAATTCGCTCACTCGTTGTGACACGCACGCAAGATCGAGTAGCTTGGGCGTGAGAGAAAACTCGCATCTATTGATCGATGCCCTTTAGGGTCGGTGGTCGGTGAGATGTAGTCCACATGATGGAGCTAGGGTCCGATAGTGGGAAAGCCGATTTGCTGGTCGTATTAAGAAATATGGCTCAAATTACCGCCAAGAGTTGTAGATTGCGGTGGTATGGAGCTGGCCAAGTGGTTGTTGAATAGAGCTGGTAATTCCGAGCCGAATGATTGGAATTTGGTTGATGTACGTTGAGATGGGTAAGGAAAAATCCACTGCAGAGCGGAGCACAGAGTGACTTGGAAGGTTTTGCAGAGCTTTTGCGAGAACCCTCAGAGACCCTTCAGCACTTGTTCTGATTTTGGAAAGAGGACGCAAAACGGGATTAAATGGTATATAATAGTCCGCGATCCGCGAGTATGTTCATTTGACAATTTTTCGTTTTCTGAATACTTTCTTATACTACTTATGAGTTTTCGAGCTACTTTGGTGGTTAAAATGCGGTTCGATGTAAATCTTGATTCGTTATTTAGTAAGAACTCAAGAAGCGCATACGGAGCTGTTTATTTTGGTATTCGCCATATGCCGTACATCTGATCAGTGACACCCCTACTCATCTGCGAATGTTTCCTTGGAGGTTGCTTGCTGCATTCTTGTTCGAAGCCTTATCAAATGCTACTTGGTATTTCTTCCTAGCACGCATCCATCTGCGGCTTCCAAGCGTTCCTTTTACTTAGTACATCGGTTTGCTCCGTCTTTGACTTGTTATCATCTGGTTCACTCATTACCTTCTTACTACTGTCTTGGTGCAGTACTGTTTGCTCTTGGCTCACCACAATCTGATATTTCCTGTTAGTCATCGCGCTTCATAAAAGTGCCAGCTTTTTCCTGTTTACCTAAGGTTACGAGTCCCCTACAAATTGATTAGTCATATGTTCAACTCTGGCTGCGTTCTGGCGAATTTGGTTATGTTGAGTTCCCTGTACGGTCTACTATCTTCACATTGGATTTTCTTATGTTCTGGCTCTTACTCCATTACCTTGCTTGTCATTCGTGTCGTTCTATTATTACCTTTTACCTTCCACTAGACATGTCATACTCTCATCCTCCATCGGAAACCTCCAAAGAGGATACGACGCATCCACCAAAATCCGGCTCTTCACGCCTCCGGCGTCTTTTCAGTCGCCGCAGTTTCCGCACTAAACGTAACACCGATCGACGAGCACTCGATATTCCATCCTCTATGCGCATATCGGATTAGCATTCGTATGACCCGATCTTTCTGCTCTTGTGATCTTTCGCTATGTCGTTTTCGACGTCATTTGACTCATTGCTGTCTTGTGGACTTTCACTTTGTTTCGTTTTCATTTTTCCGATGTCCCTCATTATATTCAATTTCCACTCCAGATTCACCTTACTGCTACTTATAATCATTTGCACTTGTAAACAGCTTTTTCTATATCCGACGACTGCACCGTTCTGATATCGTTGTTAAGTAATGCGGCTTTCTTACTGTCCACAGTTCGCACTTTTCGGTTACTAGTCGTCATAATTGCTTGACACGTATAACAAGATTGAATCCTGTCACTCCTTTGAGAAGGATGAACACTTCGATACTCTGGTCGGTCGCAATCTCCAGTTATCAGGCTCGATTATCCTGTCCATTTTATCGAGACTGGCCTGTTGGCATATACTACCACAGAGCATTCTTTTACTGAATCTCATTACGCAGCCGGATGCTTCATCTTCCTATAGTGACGACAACTTTCCTATTCTTATTTGCGACTGGACACTTTCCGTTTGAAGATCTCTCATCCCTGCGCCTCATTCGACTTCAGGTTATACTATTCGCTCATGAATACGGGACCAGTCGAGGAGTGCAGCGTTCGATGCGCGCAGCACTCGGGGGCTTCCTATTTCGGATGGCATCACAGCGATCAAAACAGTCTTGTGTCTTTGTAAGCTTACTCGAGCTTCCAACTTAGATAGCATGCCGCGATCCAAACATTCTCCGCAATGATACCAGTGGAATTCTTACCCGTCCTTCACAGCAGCCATTTGCTAACTATGCAAGTAACTGAAATGTCGCTACGCCATCTTTTCGTTGCACAAACAGCACTCTTATCCTTCGTGGGCCTTCCGATTTTTAAGTTGAAACTCCTTGGTTTCTCTCACCCGAAATCTTCGTTTGTTCACTGGACCGCTTTATGCGCTTACTTCATTACACCATTTGCACAGTAAGTGTGCCTATCTCGGGGTTGCTCATTCTGTAACCTACATTCGACATAATTGAACCTCAACTTAGCTTTTCTTTGCTAACGCTTTTGGCGCACTGTTCCTAGTCGTTTAAACTTTGACTCTCTTTCGCGAAGACACTGTGTACCATATAGTACGTTTTAGGTAGGTTCGTGGATTCCCGTTCTATGACTGTCTTTGAAGACTACAGTAAACATGTGTCCCAGCGCGCTTAACGCATGTATCATAATTTCATTACTGGTTATTTTAGTATCACTGCACCGGCTTACGTATCTATTGATTGAAACCTCGATAAGCTTAGCTACTTTCACCTTAATCACCAAAACCCTATTGCTGATGAGTGTTCTTTTCTATGCTAATGCACTCTCTCCGATGTCGTCTACTATAGTGTATCCAATCTTGGAATAGACCAGTATGTGGCACAGCGTGCTCTGATAACTAGCCCCCTGCCGTTAACCCTTACTTCTAACCATGTTCTGTTTCCCAAATTATGCTATCAACTAGCCGTAACAATCGATTTCAGCTATTTCGTGTTCCTAGCGGCCTTAACCTTAGAAAATCTTCGAAAACCAGTGTCACCGCCCACTGATCGCGATGTTTTGCTTGCAGCCTTTGAGCTACGCTGGGTGGCACTTTCTAGCTGTCTCCAGAGCCACTGATATCTGACAGATTCGAAGGCTAGAACTTAAAACGGCTCAGTCCTAATATCCTCTATTTCGGATTTTGAGGAGCACTCTATGGTCCTCCTTTTGACAAAACAGCCATTGAAGCAGCACGGGTCATATGCCCTAAGTTCATTGACGTAGAACGCGAGCGCCACGCAGTTTCTAGTGGTGAGAGAGCACCACCTGGGGATCAGGGATTTGTTACTACATGCTTCAAGCCAGACAGTCCCTGGCCAGTTAAGTGCAAGACCGTCAACCTCCAATTGCGGTCTGTCGTCTTCGTATGTATGTTGCCTACTACAGTTAAAAACACATGCATTGTTTTAAAGCTTCGACGGTCTCCCGTTGCTAGACTCATGCATATCCCAGTGCGAATCTGCACTCACACCCTAAGTCAGGCTTGCTCCCCACTCCATTGCTCATCAAGTTTTTACATAAAGGGCTCTACATAAAATCCACCAGGCAGTCATCCATGCACCTCGTCAGACTGTAGAGCACCTCGAACGGAACCATTTATAGGAATAGGCACTTGGAGAGTATCGTTTGGCATAATTATTGCTGTGTTTTCCTTACAACTCGTTTCCAAACCACTACTCACTTCGTAGCATATGACTTGTTCCTCAAAATATGGCTCTCATTTCACACAGGCTCGTCAGCATCCACACTCTGGTTCGGATCGTTCAGCGGGCATCACCTACTCTCACCCTTCACTCTATGTATGTCTCCGAAACACACATACAAAATAAGTACTTGATGTATGATCGACTCCCCTGTTCCGCATTTGCGGGCATGGACTACGCTGTTTCTGTCTCCATCCATATTAAATTAATGACTAGTTATTTTGGTGTCTGTATTGCTCTTAACAAACATCTTATAGGCAGTCTACTCAACGTGGTATACTACTTGGCAGTTGCATGTATGCAGCTTGGCTTCGAACCTCTGCTACCATTGATAAGCACTGTCTGAAGATAGAATACCTTTCCATCGTTGTCGTTTGTGCACCTCATGACTGTAGTCCAGTAAGTAACCAATTCTCAGCTCTCATCTGTCAGTATAACGAAAAATACTAATATCGTGCTTGCATCTGATGACTGTATAGCCCAGATAATGAGTGGTGCTTGCGATCACACAGTTTAGACGCTTTGACTTTTCACGGATTTATTTCCAACCACCTCGGTGCACACTGTTGCGCTTACGCTCGCTCGACGGATTTACGGTATTTGTCCAGCGGAAACAGCATCGCAACTTAAGTGTCTTTCCTCATCATCGCGTTTCTGGCCGAATTCTCTCTGAACTCGGCGCGTAAAAGTACCTCATTCTGTGTGTAATCCAAACCCCGTAACCTCATTCGAGAGTGCGCTGTAAGAGCCTTCCAGCTAATTCTATTTTAGAGCAATCTGATATTACATGCGAATGCTGCAAATCGTCTTTTAAGTCACTAGTCTAACACGCATCGGGCCATCGCAATTGAACTTTCCTTTAAACTCAGCGACTGTGCCTTTGCGCACATCCAAACTTTCGCCCCCAACCGCGCTGTCACTTCTTCCGGCACTTCTTGGTCATCAGATCGGTGGACATTTGTCACCCGCCTTGTTTCACTGACGCCTAACCAAGTTGTGTCGCGGACGGAACTGACCAATCAATCAGCACCTAGTAACAGCCCATTAGCTTGTCGATTCGAGCGATACGGTCGGTGTGAAGTCGAAAAGATCCTGATTCCTGGAACATGTTCACTGGTCAGGCACAAGAATCCGATCACCATATCACGGCGGAATTCCAATGACGGTGTGCGACACAAAGCTTTTGGAACGCATTGCGTTTTTGGCATTTTAATTTCTATATAAAGTAGTTGGTTTTCGCCGTATTTTCCTTTTTCTTGAGTTAGCAGCCAATCGTACTCACGTGATTTACTTTCGCAACATTGCACCTACGGTTTTCGGTTCTGCGGTCTGCAAATAATTTCTGCCATCACTTTTGCACGGCTATCAGACCTGACCTATCGGTATGTGCAGGTGCCACATAACCGGAAGTTTCGACAGGTATGCTACCGAAATTCATAACGCTGCTCGGTCGTTCAAGCTGGTCCGGTGTGTTAGCTAGAATACTGGACTCTTAAGAAGAGTTTGTTGTGCTAAAAGCTAAAATCGCATTCGCCAGTGTTATTCAGATAAGTCTAAACAAGCTGCATCCTCTAACTACTCTACTGCAAACACCAGCCAAACTGATATGCTTACTGCAGCAGTTTCCAGTTGGTCGCATTGGTCAAGAAATGCCGTTGTCTTTAAGGTCCCCTACGTAATTCCACTCGTATCCTTACGAGAGATTTTGCTCAGGGCAGATTCTGTATGTTGTGGTCCATATGTTTGCACGACTTAAAAATGGAGTCCACCGTCATTAATAGCATTCCCTTAACTTATACGCTAACCGCCAATGAGTTTATTAGTGGACAGGATCAAATAACTAGCAATACCACTTTTATGA